CACTCAGGTCTAAATGGCAGGCCTATACTTGGTCTGTGCTTCCAACTCAGTTTATTTCGTAACATGAGGGAACAAATCAGAAAAGAAATCCAAGTCTGAGTTCAGGCTAGGGAAACTGTTTTGTGGATTTTGTTTTGACAAGTAGAAATAATCAATCACTGCTACCAAGCACCAAAAGAACATCCAGAGGTAAACCCTCATACTAAACTTTTCCCTCAGGTATACAAACACAGGGAATCTAGTTATTAAGTAAACATAAGTCCAGTGGAATAAGCAGTAGAAGAAATATTGACAAATAACTTCCTAGGGAGAATGCAATCATTTTTGGAACTTACTTACAATACTTATTAAGTTTAACAATAACTTTAAAAATAACTTTTTTTGGACAATCTGTCAAGATTTATTGTATAAGCCAAATAGAAGAGTACTATGTACAGAGGAGACAGGGGAGGATCATTTCTTAGTCTCCTCCTCCTTGGACAAAGTCTTGATGATCTCCTCTTTCTTAGCCTGCAGACGCTCTTCCCGACACTTTCGTGCTTCCTTAGTCTTGGACCGGCGAGCTTCAGCCTGGTCAGCCAAGAGCTTCTTCCGGGCCTTGTCTGCCTTCAGCTTATGAATGTGCTCCACGAGGATCTGCTTATTCTTGAACACATTTCCCTTTACCTTCAAGTACAGGCTGTGGTACATATGTCGGTCAATCTTTTTGGATTCACGATATCTTTGGAGCAGACAGCGAAGAATCCTCATTCGCCTCATCCAGGTCACATTCTCAGGCATACGAGCATTGGCAGTACCCTTTCTCTTACCAATGCCCATGTGCCTGCCCTTCCGTCGAGCCAGGGTATTTTTCCGGCATCTAGCCCGAGAGTGCACAGTAACAGGTTTCCGGATGATCAGCCCATCTTTAATCAGCTTCCGGATCTGCTGACGGGAATTGGCGTTGGCAATTTCATTAGTCTCACTGGGGTCAAGCCATACCTTCTTCTTTCCACATCTAAGGACACTAGAGGCAAGCCTCTTCTGAAGCCTGAGCATACTCATAGCTGCAGCCACAGCACGGAAAAGGAGAAAATAAAATTTTAAAGATATTGTTTTTATGTCACCTACATTTCCCAATATATCCATCCTCTTTCCACAGAGTAGTTCTGACTTGCATTTTTCTCAGTATCAGTGATCTGAAGTAGTCTTTCCAGTGGTTCAGTTTGCCACCCCTACCCAGCCACAAATTTTTCCAGTTGCTGACCAACTTCTCGACTCTTATCAGGAGCAAACTTCATGAGTCCCAAATTGGAAACAGAATCAGTGAGGTACCTTCTATCAATTTTGTTCTCCCCCATGGATCCCTACAGACAATATGAAGAGATGACCCACAGCTTCTCCACAAAGTCTTGGCTGTCCTGAGTTTGTCATGTGTGGCAGCAGAGCGTGATATTTGGGGAGAAGGGGAAGAAATGCAGGTTAAAGTGTCATAAGAAAAGCATAAAAGAAACCCTTGTTTGTAGCATATTGTTCCTACCATTATCTAATCTACAGAGGTTAGAATTTGTGCCTTTAGACAACAACCCAGTGGAGAGATCAACAGAACCCCATTTCATGACCTTCTCAAAAGCCCCAACAAAGAAGGAACGCCCCCCCAGCCATAAACCACTTCACTGTCTTCTACCATCTCTTCCACACCATCCTCCCTCATGCCCTTCAAGCCTTCCAACTCTCCCCAGTGTAACACCACCACCAAACCCCTTCCCAATGGTTCGGCAGGTTTAAGTCCCAAATGTTTCCACTCTACCCCAAGTCCCTGATTCAGCTGACTCAATGACCAACTGAAAGCCACTATGGCTGAAAACCATGACGCAAAGATAAAAGAACAAGAGGCAAGTAAATCACAGATGGAAGAAAACAAGGATGAGATGGACATTCTAACTTCCAGAAGCTGTGGAAAGGGATGATCTCTTGCAAAGGCAGCAAGATCAGAGTCTACCTGCAGGTGTGGCACAATCTCAAAAGGAGAGCCCATTGGGCAGGGACAGTGGGGGAAAGTCTAGTGGGGCAAAGAGCACATGGAGGTGACAATCTGTTCTCTGAAGATTGGATGGCAACAACCAAGACCATCTCAAGCAGTTTAGAAAGGAGGTGATGAATTAACAGGCAGATGTATAGCACATGTGGCACAAGAACATCATGCTCTTCATGGGGTTATGCATGAATTCCTAATCCCCCTTATCATCACCACCAGTTTCTATAAAGGACAGATGCTTCACTCATTTGTGAGGGATCCTGAAGATAAGCCTGCATAAACAAAACCATGCAGATTGCTCAGGAAATTACTAAAGGCATAGAGTATCTTGTACACCAAGGGCATCGTGCACAAAGACCTGAAATGTAAGAATATCTTCTACGACAATGGCAAAGTGGCATCACAGACTTCAGGCTATTGAGGATCTCTGGTAAGGTCCAGGAAGGCAGGCAGGAAAACAAACTGAAGCTGCCACATGATTGATGATGCTATCTGGTCCCAGAAACTGTTTGGGAGATGATCCCTGGGAAAGATGAAGACAAGCTACCCTTTTCTAGCACAGTTGATGTTTATGCCTTTGGGAAGGTTTGGTATGAGCTACAAGCAAAAGACTGGCCTTTTAGGACCCCAGCTGCAGAGGCCCTGATCTGGCAGAATGGAATCAGGGAACGTATTGAGTAGTCCTGGCATAAATCAGGTTGGAGAAAGAAGTCAGTGAGATCTTGTCAGTTTGTTGGTCCTTCAACTTTGAGAAGAGACCTACCTTTCCCCTGCTGATGGAAATGCTGGAAAAATTGCCCAAACTGAACCAGAGCCTCTCTCACCCAGGCTACTTCTGAAAATTGGCTGAATTGTAATTCTTGGGGCTACCTGGTAACTCTTGGGGCTACCAGGTACGTCTCCCTAGCTTTTCCCCCCTCTTCTAATTAACTTCTCAACTCAAAACAGTTGTCTACTAAAATGCAAACCTGGATTTTTTGCATTAACCAGGGGGAATCTAATCTCCACCTACTATCCTTTTCTCTGAAAATATTTTTTAATCCTTCCTTTAAAAAAAAAGAATCAGAAATAAATGAATTCAATAACCAGGGTATGATAAACAAAATATAAGTTACCTAGAAAAAACTCCCTATCTGACAAGAATTGTTAGGGCAAAGTAGAAAGCAATCTAATAGAAATTAGGGTGAGATCAATACCTTATACCACATAACACAATTAAACTACAAATGACTATGTGACCTGAATATATGTTATGCTATTTTAAAAAGTTAGAAGAGAACTAAATCAGGTACACATACAAATTTAAACACAGCTATGTCTATGGCAGGGGTTCTTAGCCTCAGGTCCCAACTCCCAAGGTGTCCACAGATAGATTTCAGAGGGTTCCTGAACTTGGATGGGAAAAAAACTTCCATTTTTATTTAAGTATAATTGGTTTCTTTTGTAATCTTGTGCATTTTATGTATTTAAAAATAATCCAAAAAAAGGGGTTCATAGACTTCATCAGACTGTCAAAAGGGTCTATGATACAAAAAAAATTAAGGTCCTGGTCTAGGGGGTGGACTCTTAACCAAACAAGGGATAGAGACAATAACAAAAGATGAAAAGATGATTTCAATTAAGTGAAATTGAAAAGCTGTTATATGAACAAAATCAATTCACCTAAGACATTAAGGAAAGTAGTCAACTGAATTGAGAAAAAAAAATCCTTGCATCAAATATTTCTATTATGAGTCTGATAACCAATTCTAACCCTAATTCTGAGATGGAGGAAGAGAGGGACAGCTATGGGTATGCAACACTGCATATAATGTAAGACCTTTCTTTATCTGTTGGTTAGTTTCACTGAACTTTTTTTTCTTTTTTTAATTTTTCATTATAATAAGTGGCTTTTGGCTTTCCACAAAGAGGAGAAAAGAGAGATACATTGGAAATTTAAAGTGATATAAAAACAAAAGGTATTAAGAAGGTTATAATACCACTTTATAATACCAGCTTTACTAAGAAGCAAGAAAAAAAAAAGACAAAAAGAAAGTGACCTAGAATGCTAAGAAAGTCTACTAGACTTGTCCTCATTAGCTCTACCACATTAAGCAAAATGAATAAGCTTATTATGGGTATGATTAAGGAAATTCTAGAATCACACTCCAGACAAAGACAGGCATTCACCATAAGAAGTATGTGGGAACTGAGGCTGATTAAGAGAACAGCAGATTCCGAGCCCCCATGTCATAGCCATTCCAAGAGAGCAGTGCAAGCAGGGAGGGAGTTGTTCTTAAAGATGACATTGTGGCACAGTGAAAGACAGCTATTACAGGAGGAGAACAGATGCCATCATGTAACAGTACAGGTGTATGGACCCCATTGTCTCTAGTTCCACAGGCAGCACAGGTTGGTGGTTCAAATGTGCAACAGGATGTGCATGCCAATCAAAAGCTCAGAGCCACTCAGGGTTCAAACTTCTATAGAATTTTTAGACAAAGACCTGACATGGCATTAATAAGAGACCGTCCCATCATAACCAGTGGATAAAGCAGTGGGGTACAGTGTGATAGGGTGGACCACTGAAATGAGGGTATTCTCTAAACTGCCTAAAAGGAAATGAAAAATGAGAGGGGAAGGGAGCCAGGAAACTTAATTCTAATTGTGTCAGCATAAAAATGACTAGAGGGGAGAGGGACTGGAGACGCCAGATTATTGGGTCAGTTAAGCCTACATATATGTACCCTGAAGGCTGGGGCTGAACCAACCAAACCAGGTGCTACCTGCTCACAAAGAAATATACTCATTAATAGAAAATGCAATTGTGGACACTGTTTAAATTGTTATCTTTCTGCTATTCACAGATTGTTGGATTTGAGCAAATTAAATGAGCAAATGCTGTAACTCCCTTCTAGACAGTAGGGGGAAAAAACATGTATGTATGTATGTATATGTATATATCCATATTTTGGTAAAAAAAATTAAAATGTATATTACCTACCTTTTTGCTCTCTCCAGGTCATCATTGGCCTGCTCCAGCTCTCTTACATACTTATGTAATTGTTCTTTAATGGCTCGTGTCTGACTCAAATCATCTTCCAAAACAGAGACCTGCTTATAACTCTGTGCATACTGATGTTCTAGTTTCTCCTAAAAGTAAGAGTAAGTGTAGGGACTAGTACTGTGTCATTGGTATTTAGTTTTCATATAATTTGGTTGGGGAAAAAATTAAATTTGAACATAATTTTGATGTCACCTTTCCAATATTTAAAAATCAAAACATACATACATTTTGGATGCACTGATTCATAAAAATTTAAATATAAATTCCAACTGTACCTGTGTAACCAACTAAATCAGATCCCCTGACATTGCCATCAACTATCCTGACTCCCACCCAAAAAGGAAGCCTAACAATAAGCTCTCTGAAGAGTAAAAGTCAAGTAATGTGATTCTATTGACTCAAAAATTTAGGACATTGACAATCTCCTAAATGACAGCAACTGTAGATGACTGATAGAAAACTTTATATAAATTCAATCTACAGGCTGAATCTGAACATGAGTTTAACTTTATCCAGTCTATGGTAAATCCAGAACAGACTACTACCAAATAATTGAATTTCTTTCAAAACAAAGGACTCAGAACATGAATGTAAGTTTAAGTACTTTTAAGTACTATGGAAAAAGGTACACTAATCTCTCAAGAATAATCCTATAATCAAACAGCTTTTAAATATCAAAAGAGACTTACAGGTATAGCTAGGAAATTGATACCTACTTCTAAAATGAAGAATTACATTTCTAAAAGATGAGATATTTCCAATTGTTTTAGTTTTAGTTCAAACTTAAGATTTCATTAATATAGGGAACTCATAATGTAAATACTCTCAACCAACCTTATCCATAATTTATATTTTAGAAAGCTGCCTGGGGGCACTGCCCCTATTCACACAGCTAGTATATCTCAGAAACAAGAATGGGCTCAGTTCCTCTTAATTCCAATCCAAGGGCAGCCATTTATCCAATAAACCATGCTGCCTCTTAAAGATCTAATATAAAAATCTTCACAATCCTATGGGGGGAAAAACTATTTTAAAAATCAATTTTTAGTTCCCTTCCCCATGCTCTATTATAGAAGCAATACAGATAAGAGTCCTGGGCTTGGAGGCAGGAAGACCTAGGTTCAACTCCTGTCTATGTTACTTACTAGCTGTGTAATCCTGGACAAATCATTAAAACTCTCTCCAAGTTTAAGTTTCCACATCTGTAAAATGAGGAGGTTAGACTGGAAGCACTTCCAGCTTCTTCATATATTATTCTATGGCCAAATAACTCTCTAAGCTTCAACTACTAAGTAACAGACTTAGCCTGTATTGTTAATGGATGGAGCTCTCCACATTAATCCAACCATAATTTTTCTACTGCTTAGTCTTTCTCCTTTCCTCTTATCTTTCATTTTAGTTCTTCTTACTTTCTTAATAAGACAGGACAATGAAAGCAGTATTTAAAAGCACACAAACACACTAAATACATTGTTGTTGTTCAGTCATTTCAGTCATTCTTCATGGTGACCCCATTTAGGGTTTTCTTGGCAAAGATATTGACAGGGTTTGCCATTTCCTTCTCCAGTTCATTTTTCAGATAAGGAAACTGAGGCAAACAGGATTAAGTGACTTGCCCAGGGTTGTACTGCAAATAGGTATCTGAGGCTGCATTTGAACTCAGGTCTTCCTAACTCCAGGCTCAAAGCTCTATTCCCTGTGCCACCCACCTGCCACTTACTAAATAAACACAATAAATTCATTTATTCATTCATTTTCATTTACTGATTACAGATATGTTTTAAAAGCCAGTAAGCACAATCTGTTATGTTTCTTACTAAATTAAAATTTTAATTTAATTAATTTATATTAATAATAAATAAATGTATTATATAAAATATATTATATAAATTAAATGTAAATAAATAAATAAAATTAATTAAAATTTCAATTAAAAATTAAATAACTATATAAAGTAGATCTTATAATGAGACTTTCAAATACCTTTAATGCTTCCACTTCATATTTCAATCTTTGGTTATCAGCTTGTAAGTCTCTATTTCTTTGTTCAGCCTGAACTAGCTGAGCTTCCAATTCTGCTTCTAATTCTCTGCTTCCTTCTTGGAATTCAACCAGCTCTTCCTGTGCTTCCCGAAAACTGTGTGAGAATAGAGAAGGAAGAGTTAAATTTTTTTGTTGCATCATCACAAAGATTTAACCACTTGAAGACAATTTTATTTAAGAAAAAACAACATACACTCAACAAACATATTAAGTGATTGGTATGTGCAATATATTTTAATAGGCACTGGGGAGAGACAAGACAAATTAAGACATATCCCTACCCTCAAGGAGGGATTAAACCTAGTAGAGATAAGAACACAAATATATAAATTACAATATAAGCACATTATAAATGAAGGTGGCAGAATGAGATGGCACAAGAGAACCCATATCCTCTTCAGAAAGAGCAACAGAAACAGCAAAACAAACAAAAAAAAGTGTGGTGGTACAAAAAAAAAAACCTCCAAAGAAAATAATCTCTAAGGAAGATCAAATAAATAAGCAAATAAAAAAAACTCCAATAAGATGGATATAATATGATATAAACCTGCAACAAACATATAAGAAAAAAATATATAATAAATTACAGCAATGCTATCCACAATAACACAGCAGGAACATCAATGCGTAAAGTACTTGTACTAATGGAAATGAAGGAAGAAATGAAATTAGTGAAGATGAGAAGATGATGGAAATCTACTTGGAAATATCTGTGGGGGAAAAAAACAAACAACAGATTCACTGAGAAATACAACTGCTGAAATGAAAATTAGAATGGTGAAATCAAGGAAGGAAACCACAATGAAAGCTCAAAACAAACAAAACTGACAAATTTGGAGGAGAAAGCTCTGAGAGTTAACCAAAGAGTAATAAGGCTCCCTAAAAAATGTGACTATAGGGGCAGCTAGGTGGCGCAGTGGATAGAGCACTGGCCCTGAAGTCAGGAGGACCTGAGTTCAAATCCAGCCTCAGACCAAACACTTGACACTTACTAGCTGTGTGACCCTGGGCAAGTCACTTAACCCAAATTGCATTAAAAAACAAAAACAAACAAACAAACAATGAAACAAAATCCAAAGAATGAAAAAATAGAAGACAATATGAAATATATCATTGGAAAAACAACTGACCTGGAAAATAGATCCAGGAGAGATAATTTAAGAATTATTGGACTACCTGAAAGCCATAATAAAAAAAAGAGCCTAAACATCATCTTTTAAGAAATTATGGGGGGGGGGCAGGGCAGAGTGAAAGCAGTGACTTGCTTGAGTTCTCCCCCAAACCCCTCCAAATACCTGTAAAAAATGGCTCTAAACAAATTCTAAAGCAGCAGAACCCACAAAAAGACAGAGTGAAATATATTTTGAGGCCAAGACAGCCTGGACGGTTCATTGGAAAGGTGTATCACGCCAGGGGGGGGAGAGGAAAGCAGTTTGACAGGGGCGCGCTGGCAAAACAGGCCTCAGAGGACTGAATCGTGGGCAGTTGAGGCAGATTTCAAACTTCTCAACCCACAAATGCCAAAGACAACTTAGAAGGTCAGTGGGAAAGGTCTGTGACTACAGTGAGAGAGAGAAGCTTGGTCCCGGCCCCAGTCCCTGAGAGCGGTGGCTGCCTCCAGAGCTTCTAGCCCACAGACTGAGGGGGAATTGGGTGGCTGATCAGAGGGGGGACTGCAGGGATCTCTTTGCCAGTGCTGAGGAAGGAATCTCTTGCCTTGCCCATGCTTGGATCTGGGTCACAGTTCTGGGTGGCAGTCCTGGGGCGAGGAAGAGTGCTGGTGTGGTGAAGCTTGCAGTGGTGATGAAAAGGCAATCCTCCTCACAGCTTCAAGGCAGAAAAGAGTGCTTGTGGTCACTCACAGACCAGGAAAGGAATAAACACCTTGCCCCTTATCACACCACCTTGGAAGAACTGAAAATTTATAGGTCCCTAGAAGTATCTCTGAAAACAGCAGCACAAAACCCCTGAAGCTTGTGACAATACACCCTCCATACTGGAAGCAGAGCCCTACCTTAACAAAGAGTTAAAAAGTCAAGTAACTGGCTGGGAAAATAAGCAAACAATGGGAAAATAAACCTCAGACTAAAGAAATTTACTTTAATAACAAGGAAGATCAAACCATACAACCAGAAGACGATAACAAAGTCAAAGCTCCTACATCCAAAGCCTCCAAGAAAAATATGAATCAGTTCCAGGCCACGGAAGAGCTCAAAAAGGATTTTGAGTAACAAGTATGAGAAGCAGAGGAAAAATCTGAAAAGAAATGAGAGTGATACAAGAAAATCATGAAAAACAAGTCAACAGCTTGCTAAAGGAGACCCAAAAAAATACTGAAGAAAAAAACACCTTAAAAAATAGCCTAACCCAAATGGCAAAAGAGGTCCAAAAAGCCAATGAGGAGAATGCCTCAAAAGCAAAATTGGCCAAATGGAAAAGGAAGTCCAAAAGCTTCCTGAAGAAAATACTTCCTTAAAAATTAGAATACAGCAATTGGAAGATAGTGACTTCATGAGAAATCAAGACACTCAAAACAAATTCACAAGAATGAAAAAATAGAAAACAATGTGAAATATCTCATTGGAAAAACAATGACCTGGAAAATAGATCCAAGAAAGAAAATTTAAAAATTATTGGACTATCTGAAAGCCATGATCAAAAAAAGAGCCCAGACATCATCTTTCAAGAAATTATCAAGGAAAACTGCCCTGATATTTTAGAACCAGAGGGCAAAATAGAAATGGAAAGAACCCACTGTTCACCTCCTGAAAGAGATCCCCAAGGGAAAACTCCTGGGAATATTGTAGCCAAATTCCAGAGTTCCCAGGTCAAGGAGAAAATATTGCAAGCTTCCAGAAAGAAACAATTCAAGTATTGTGGAAACACAATCAGGATAGCACAAGATTTAGCAGCTTCTACATTAAGGGACCACAGGGCATGGAATATAATATTCCAAAGGTCAAAGGAGATAGGATTACAACCAAGAATCACCTACCCAGCAAAACTGAATATAACACTTCAGGGGAAAAAATGGATATTCAGTGAAATAGAGAACTTTCAAGCATTCTTGATGAATAGAAAATCTGACTTTCAAATACAAGATTCAAGTGGAACAAGAAGAGGTAAACAGGAAAGAGAAATCACAAGAGATTTATTAAGGTTGAACTGTTTACATTCCTGCATGGAAAGATAATATTTGTAACTCTCGAGACCTTTGGCAGTATTAGGGTAGTTGGAGGGAAAAAATTATATGTAGACAGACTGATAGATATAGATAGATAGATAGATAGATAGATAGATAGATAGATAGATAGATAGATAGATAGACAGACAGACAGATAGATAGATAGATGGTACAGGGTGAGTTAAAGATGAAGGGGTGATATCTGGAGAATAAAATTAAGGGGTGAGAGAGGATCATACTGGGAGAAGGAGAAAGGGAGAGGTAGAATGGGGTAAATTATCTCACATAAAATAAACAAGAAAAGGCTTTTACAGTGGAGGGGAAGTGGGGGAAGGTGAGAGGGAACAAGTGAATCTTATTCTCATAGGATTTGGCTTAAGGAGGGAATAACATACACACTCAACTGGGTATGGAAATCTATCTTACCTTACAGGAAAACAGGGGGGCAAGGGGACAAGAGAGCAGGGGGATGATAGAGGGAGGGCAGATTGGGAGGGGTAATCAAAAGCAAACACTTCTAAGGAGGGACAGGGTCAAAAGAGAGAACAGAATAAACGGGGGGCAGGATAGGATGAAGTGAAATATAGTTTTTCACAACATGACTACTATGGAAGTGTTTTGCATAACTACACATGTAGAACCTGTATCAAGTTGCTCGCCTTTTCAATGAGGGTGGGTGGGGGGGAGGAAGGGAGAAAATCTGGAACCCAAAATTTTAAAAACACATTATAAAAAAAATTTGTTTTCACATGCAACAGGGAAAAAAGAAATATAGGAAATGAGGTATAGAAATCTATCCTACCCTATAGGAAAACAGAAAGGGAAGGGGATAAGAGAAGAGGGGGAGAGATAGAAGGGAGGGCAGATTAGGGGAAGGGGTATTCAGAATGCATGCCATCTTCATGAGGGGGGAGAGATGAGAAGGGAAGAAAATTTGGAACTCGAAATCTTGTGCAGGTAAATGTTGAAAACTAAAAATAAATAAATTTTTAAAAAAAGAAAAGAAAAGAAATTATTGAGGAAAACTCCCCTGATATTCTAGAAGCAGAAAGTAAAATAAAAATTGAAAGAATCCACCTATCACCTCCTGAAAGAAATCTCAAAATGAAAACTCCCAGGAATACTATAGCCAAATTCCAGAGGTCCCAGGTCAAAGAGAAATATTGCAAACAGCCAGAAATAAACAATTCAAATATCATGCAACCACAGGCAGGATAACACAAAATTGAGCAGCTTCTACATTAAAGGACTGAAGGGCTTAGAATATGATAATCCAAAAGGGTAAAGGAGCTAGGATTATAACCAAGAGTCACCTACCAGGCAAAATTAAGTGTAATACTTCAGGTGATAAATAAAACAGACATTCAGTCAAATAGAGGACTTTCAAGCATTCCTGATGAAAAGACCAGAGCTAAACAGAAAATCTGACTTTCAAATGTAAGATTCAAGAGAAGCATAAAAAGATAAACAGGAAAGAGAAATCATAAGAGATTCAATAAGGTTAAACTGTTTACATTCCTTTATGGAAAGGTAATACTTATAACTCCTAAAAAATTTCTCATTATTAGGGCAGATAAGAAGAGTATATCTAGACAGAGAACATGGATGTGAGTTGAATATGATGGGATAACTAAAAAAAAATAAAATTAAATCAAGGAGTGAAAAAGAAGAATGCACTGGTAGAAGGGGAAAGGGAGAGGCAGAATGAGGTAAATTATCTCACATAAAAGAGGCATGAAAGACCTTTTACAGTAGAGGGGAAGATAGGGGAAGTGGAAGGAATGCTTGAACTTTAACTCTCATTTGAACTGGTTCAAAGAGGGAATAACATACACACTCAGTTGGGTATATAAATCTGTATTACCCTGCAGGAAAGTAGGAAGAGAAGGAGATACGGGAAGGGTAGGGAG